AGCAACTGGTTATCAGTGCCTGCATTAAAAAAATGTTTCCCTAAGAAAAAAAAGAGTGAGAGGCTTTATTTTTTATTTTTTATTTTTTTAAATGTGACTATTCATAGAAAGGGCAAATAATATCTCCCACTGCTGAGGCCTTGAGTCTCTAACACATCCACTATAACAAAGGAAGGCTGTTTACTGAATGACAAACTGAACTCTACAAAATTGCAGTGCATCTCCTTGAAACAATAATTCACAGCCTTTGTCATGCACATTCCTAAATGAAGGAAAAACACGTTCAAACTTCTTGCAAAGTAATATTGCCAGTAGCCAAAAGGCCAGTTAGTCAGCTGGAGTCGACTGTTGTCACACTTTGTTGAGTTCCTTCTCCAAGGAATTAGAACTTTTCCCAGGAGACTCCTAAACTCTGATAGAGAGTAGTGGACATCTCCTTAGGAAATCCTCCTGCTATGGTAACCATCCCTCTAGCAAGGCTGATCATGGTGGTTCTACATCCAGGGTGGATCTGACTTATGCCAACTCTATATGCCTCAGGTAAGGAGCAAAGAACAGGGCTGAGCAAAACAAAGTTGTTCTTCCTTTTGAAATGATTATTCTTTGAAATATTTCAAAGCCATACAGTATACTACCACTTTAATCTTGTTTTCTTCACACATATACAGCTGTTCTTCAAATGTCATCTAACTAGTGCCCTACTGCATAGCTGTCAACATGTCCCTTTTTTTAAGGGAAATTCCCTTATTCCAAATAGGATTCCTCGCAAGAAAAGGGAAAAGTTGACAGCTATGACATATTCAGTTAGGTAAGCTGGTTACACAAAATGTGGCAAGATGTTATGAGGACTCATCCAAAGGTGGATAGGCCAACCTGATTTCATTATTAACTAGCATTTATTTCTCTTGCAAATGTTACAAATGGTTTTAGGTTTCCATTTCTACATTGATTGCTGCATTGAAAGCTTCAGATTTGTTTCTCATTGTTGAGATTATTATAACTTGTCCATTTCTATTCCAGAGAATATATTTGTGAGGCAGACGGAATCACAATTAAAAACAAAACAATATGACTAATAAAATCAGAATACATTAAAAAGAATAAAGAAAAAGAAAAATGGGTATCTGAAGGTTATAAAAACAAGAAATCATTTTATAAATGCTTGCTGAAATAACCAAGTTTTAAGTTGACACCTGAAGCTCATTACAGATGCCGACTTGATTTCTCTAGCTAAACAGTTCCATAATCCCGATGGCCCCACACTTAAAGCATAATTTTGTGTTAAGGTTCAATTGACACTGCCAAGCACCATCAGATGGGCTTCAGTGGCAGATTGCAAAGGCCAGGCAGGGGTATAAGGAATCGGGCAACATTTTAAGTGCACTGATGACTAATGGTCACAAGTCAAGCATGCTAATTTATTTTATTATTTATGTATCCAAATTATATCCCACCCTGCCTCCCAAGGGAGCCTAGGGTTGCAAACACATCTGTAACAAAAACACAATTAAAAATGAAGACATAAGCAAATAATTTAAAAAATTGTTAAAACATCAAAAAACAATAAAACAGAATCAAACATGTAACTAGTCATGTGTCTGAATAGTCCCATTGAAACAGAAATGCTTTCAAAAGGCACTTAACAGAATACAATGACGGCACTAGCCTATTGTCAGCAGCAGGGAGTTAGTGCTGCCACACTGCAAGCATGGCTCCTGACAAACAGAATGGACATTGCGCAGCACTCCTAGGAGTGCAAGTTCTGCAGCTCAAAGGGATCAAGTTGACACCTATATCCCTTAAGTAAAGTGGTGAAGTGATATGGCATTAAAGTATCAGTTGCATGTTTTAAGATACATGGGGGGCAAGGTCCCACCAGTTTTGCTTGTGAAAATATGTATGTGTGTGTAATACATAATAATATATTACACCATGTCTTTGAGAAATGTAATCAATGAGGCTAGCAATTTATCCTTAAGACATGGGTCACAAGGCTTTCTCTTTAGTAAACCCAGAAAAATAAACGCCCAGACTTAAAAGAAGACAGAAATGTAGCAGAGTGTCTTGCCAGAGCTTTTAGATATGATAGCCTGTGTTTAACTGTGTACATTAACTGTCATTAACGAGTAAAACCTATTACTGATAGAACTTCTTATTCCCAGAAATTACACAAAATGGAAGAATTCATTGAGTAAAGAAATAAAAAAAACTGCTACTGCCACATCTCCTCTCATATAAGTAAAAAATCATCTTTACCTGCCTTTCTCCTGGGAATAGTCTGCTTTTCAAATCTAGTGCAATTTTCCCTGAATGTCAGAATTCAGAAAAATTGTTCTTAACATCTAGGGGGAGGGAACATGGCAGGCACTTTGCATTCCTTCGTAGCTTAGAAAAGCCAACTGTGATACTGAAATTTAATAACACAAAAAACAAAATCGCTAGACATCTTACTCCCAAACAAACTCAAAAGGAGTTTAAAATATTTTGAGATCATTTAATTGCTTCCCACCTTCTTTAATAGTATTTTGGGACGGGGCGGGGGGAATGATTCTTACTTGAATGCACTGTGCATATTATGGGCTGGCAAGCTGAAGTTGGAAACTAGTGCTAAAAATTAGGAAGAAAGCAAAGTTACTAGAGAGTAAGTCTAAATTAACTAATTGAGACTTATTGCCAAGTAAACATGGGACACTTTACAGATCTCCTCCTCTAGGTAGAGGTACAGTTGTGATCCTTAAAACACTTAGTCATTCCAATAAAGTCCATGGGAATTTTCCAGAATAAGTTACTTTGAGACTCTGAGGGACGGCCTCGGACATGTCCAGTGAACCGCTTTGATCTGTGCAACTGGCAATGAGATAGTGCCATTTGTTCTGCACTTATAAGAAATCAAACTTTTACTGTGCTGGCACCCATACTTTGGAACTCCATGTCTATTGACATAAGGCAGGTATCTCCGCTTTATTGTTTTCAAAGCCTGCTAGAAACAATTTTTTTTGTTCAGACATGTATACGTTTAATCTGTTTTTAGCTTAACTTATTATTTTAATTTTGTTTTAGTTTTTTGTAAGTGACATGGGGATTCGATTTACAATCAAGCATTGTATAATTTTGCGAAATAAAATAAATTAAAATGCCCAGTCTTGCAACCGGCAGGGTAAGGGGGGCATTTCAGCAAGGAATGAAGACAACAAGGAATGGACACCACAGAGGTGTCCATTGTTGCAATGCAAACAACGCTCCCCCCCCAAGTTTCTTGGGGAATCGTAAATCTAATTTATATATGTGGTAGAAGCTCTATAGTGGACAAAAACCCGGCTTCCAGACACAGTAGTTAGTCTAAATCACAATTGCTATAATAAATGTGTTGCTAATTAAGGTGCCCCTAAACTCCTTGTTGTGGTGCTGTCACTAAAACAATGGCTTCCAAACTCCCTCCGCCATGGACCATTTGAACCTTGCTGAAGATCTTGGTGGGCTACTTAATAATGTTTCTGCCTGTTGTAGCAACTGCAATGTGCTGTGCTAGATGCTATATGAGTTTTAATTGTATTTTTATTTCTTCCATTACATTCAAATTGTAATGCAATACAATACAATATAAGAAATAAAAGAAGCAATAAAAATGCAATAAAAATGAGTATGGATATTTAATGTGATGAGTGTGCCATCTCTTGTCTTCAACCACAAATGTGCCATGGGCCACCTGAATGAAGCTTGTGGACCACTGGTGTCCCATGGACCAGCTTGGGGATACCTGCTCTAAATGAAAGGGAGACGTCCGGCTGCTGCCAAGTTTCTGCAACCACACACACCACCTTTTTCGTGGGGAGGGTGGTCTATTTTGAACAGTGAGAAGCAAGCAGGCCGTGAGGCTAGATTTTGCTCAGGTTGCTGGTCTGCTCTGGAGTAAATGAAGTGAGAGAATGGCAAAGTAGTGAGCCCAGAATCATGGTCATGTTAAAACAGAAGGAAGGTGGCAACTAACCTAGGATAAAAAGGTACCTTTAAGTCCAATTGATTTGAACAAGAGAGGTTAAACCCCAGGTTGACCTTTTCCGTTGAAATCAATGGAGCTTACGGCTCCATTCCTGAACACGCTCACTAGGAAATAGCTCATACTGAGCACCGTAGGATTTATTTCCAGGCAAACATCCATGGGATTGTGCCATAAGAGAGCTTCTCTTTAACAGCATATTGCCAAGAGGCAAAGCATTTATTCCCAAATAAATGCTGAAAAATCGATAAAGTGTGCACAAGCCGTAAGTTTCGCTCTAACGCAGCCAAAAACTTCCAGCAAGAATCTGTTCTACTTTTTCTGCACCACCACTTGCAAAGCAAGCAATCTGCACTCTTTTAAAAGTTTGTGTCAATTTAAAAAGGTAAGCTCCGCAAAGCAGACGCTGGCTGCAAATTGGCTGTGCTCTGACATCCATCTTTTCCCACGCGTGCGCGCGCCTTGCAACACCGGACTGCTCCCAACCGAAAACCACCGCGCAAGCATTAAGGCTTTGCAAGGCTGAGCCTGTTCCGTGGCGCGTCTTTTGGAAAGCCTTTCCTTCTGCGCACGATTGGCTTTATTCCTACGGAGAATATTTTCGCCCTCGACTGCTTGGGAGAGCGGAAGGACCTGCAGCTGCAAGCGCGCCTTTTGGCCGCAGAAGGATCCGAAGGGGTCCTCCGCATTTGCAGAAGCCAAGAAAGGTTGACGAGTTGTTTGAAGTTATATCCAGAAAAGAAACAAATATGAGGGATGGGGCGAGATGAATGCCGAAGATGGCAGGGTCATCCAGCTGTTCGTTCGTTTCTTTCTTTCGCATTACAAAGGCCACTCCGCCTTGGGGAGGGTCTGGAAGCCAACCGGCCTCTGCCCAGAAATCTCCGCTCCCTCCTCCCAGATGCGGGGGGTGCGAGAGAACCTGCTGCCCTTACGCAAAGCAGGCATTCCGCACATGTTCAGAGGCACCTTCGACCTCGTTTGCAGATGATGAAAGCCTGCCATGAGACGAGCTGTTTCCAAGGCCAGCTCCCTCCGCAAGGGCAGCGTGAAGTTTCTCCCGCACAAGCCCGACCCATCCGAAGGGCAGCGGGGCAAGGCGGGCGGCGGTCCGCGGGCGGGCGGGCAGCTCCCCTCGCTGGACCGGCGCTGCGGCCGATCCTTGGTTGCGGGGCTGGCGCCAGGGAAGCGCGCAGGCAGCTCTGCTTCTCTGCCGCAAAGAACGTCGACGGCCACCTGCGCGCAGCGCAAAGACCCGGCCAAGGAAAAGTTCGAGAAAGCGAGCAGTGCGCGCTTTGGCGACGCATTTCTCGAGCCCCGGCCGTGGTCAGATCCGCCCTCGGGCGGGCGGCCTGCTTGCCCTTAGCCTCGGAGGCGCCCGGCCGGGAAGCTTTGCTCTCCATCTGGCGGCGCTGCAGTCCTCTGCGCCGGCGGGCATTCGGGGGGCGCCTGGGCCAAGTTACACTCCAGGGTCTTACGGGCTCCTCATACTGTCCAGTGTACTGCAGTACTTCATGTAAGAGACGTTCAGAGAGCGTCCGTCGCCAGGCCCTGGCCTGGCAGCGCTGCTGCGCTTACCTGGGAGTAAGTCCCACTGAGCCAAGCAACGTTTGCGCCAGCCACGTCTTTAGGGCTGGAGCCAAAGGAGGACCACAGTGTCACACCCGCGGTGCGGGGCGATGCCCCAACTCCCTCCTGCGCCCGGAACTCCAGAAGGACTCCTTCCCAGACGTCAGCATGCGCTGTACATCCCGCCGAATGGCCCCCGGATCTACATACATAGGATTGAGCCGCCAGCAAGGCATTGCGCGTTTACCTGGCAATCACCCCCAGTGAACGCGGGCTGCCCCCCTTGCGCGCTTCTTGGAGAGGAAAAGTCCCGCCGCGCGCCACGTGCGCGCACATCTCTGGCTCCTTTGAGAGGAAGGGCGGGATGGGAATAGAAGAAAGAAGCTGGTCTGCTTTTCAGGAAGCAGGACCCGCCAAAGTGCTGGAGGTCTCCCAGGACACGCGGAGCAAAAGATGGTGGGGCGAGCCGAGCAGGAGCGAGGGAGTTGGGGACTCGGAGGGGTTCTGGCAGGTTGCAAGCACGACTGGTCTTGGCTTGGCGCGGGGAAGGAGGAACCTTCTGCGTTCTGTAAAGCACCTCTTCCCCCAAATGTTTGTTTAGAAAGATTTCCTGATGGAGGGGCGCCAAAGGGCTTCGGAGCAGCCGCCGCGGTGCGCTCCTTGCAGCTATGAGATCCTTGCAGCCACTGGAGTGCTTCCCCCGCGGAGCCCACCAAGACCAGGCGGGAAACGAGCGGAGGCCGCGAAGTGGAAGGCGAGGCGGCCGCTCGGTGGCCCCTGGACGGTCGGGAGAAAGGGCCCGGCGGGCTGGGCAGCCGCAGCAGAGAAACGCCCATTCGGCTCAGAATTTGCGGACCCTGACTGGCATCTGCTCTCCAGGGCAGCCCTCGCTGGGGAAGTCGGGTTCGAAGCCGGCACCGTCCGAGCAGACAGAGGCTCTGCCGCCTGAGCCGGGTGGCGTCGCGCCGCAGCCTTCTCCTGGGGAAAGAAAAAGGTGGCGAGAGAGGCGCTGGGGGAGCACAAAAAGATTGGGGGGGGGAGAGACAGCTCCTTCTAGAGTAGGAAGGCCAAACGCCGTAGATGAGCTTGGCCAACTTCCTTGACAAGGATCCTTGTTGGAAAGGGTGTGTGACCATCTTCAGTTTTTCTGGCTATGTAGGCAGCATTTCAGGCCCAGCTGCTTAACCAGAGAAGTTTCCAGTCAAGCTATGCTTGGACCTTGCAAGATAGTGCACAATTTGTATGTTGTTTTTTAAATGAAGCTTAAATTCACCTCACCCCCAGTTTGTTATTTCCTTCCTTCTCTCCCCCCCCCCACTTAGTATTTCTACTTTTATCTCTTCAACCAATCTCCTCTAAAACCATTCATTCTTTTTGTCCCATTAACCCTTCGCATATTTTCTTCTGGGTTTTATTTTTTGCAGGGTGGGTGAGTTGTTTAAAGGCGGAAAGACTGAGGGAAAGGTCTGGACTATGGACCACAGTGAACTGTGGAAATGCAGGTCTGGGTAGGGGGAAACCCCACATCTGGAAATCTTAGTCACCCACCATGTATGACTGCTTATTGTATATTTCCAGATCCCTGCTTCTGCTGTTATGGTGGTCCACTGCAAAGGCATGGAGTAGATCACCAAGAATGTGTTTTCGCCACTATTTGAGCAGCAGCAGCAGCAGCAGCAGCAGCAGTTCCTTCAGTAGTTTGCTGAGTGGACTGCTGGAGTCTTTTATTTGGAGAAACTCAGTGTAAAATGTGACACTCACAGATAGCAGGTAGAGCTCTTGGGCAAGTATTTTGAGAAGAAGCTGGGGAGGGGGTCTTGGACTGTAATAATTGGAGCACACAGGCAGGTGAAAAAGAATGTTGGCTAGACATCTTTCTGTGATATACAGATAGATGCCAAGCACAAATAAGACAGGCATCAAATTTGAGGACAGTGACATAATTGGAAATATCACATTGTGCAAAAGTAAATCCAGATGTTACAAGAAAATAAAATCTTTAGCAAAGAACTCTTAGAGGTAGTGAAGAAATAATTCAGGGAGAACTCCCAGCAACAGCTTAACTCAGCTTAAGGGACAAGTGTTACACAAAAGGATCAGCAGAGAATGAGCACCTGAGGTTGAAGGCTGACAGGAATAGGGAGAGGGAAGGAGCAGGAATTGCAGGAAGGTGGGGCACAAGGTGCCATCGCCAGTATCAGTATTGGGTCAGACCACAGATCAAGATCTGAAAGGAGGAACTTGCAGGTTGCATAAAGGTGATGAAATCGACCTGAGGGGAAAGGTGGAGATGCACAAATCTGATGGGTTTGGATTGGCAAAGAGAAACTGGTGATGCCGGCTTATCCCATGGGGGGGGGGGGAGAGAAGTTGAGGGGAGGCATCCAAATGGAAAAGAAGAAAGAGAACTAACCTTGATTCCTTTTCTGTGGAAATTAGGAATAGGGAAAGGGCAAGGGCTGACAAATCTCCATGTGCTTTAAATTTAAATTTGACTACATGGCTTCAGTTCCATGTAGTACTTCTGTGGACCCAAAAGCAACTCATATCTATGCAGTTTGGTTCAATACAGTTGTGGATCAAGTTGCATGTTCTTGAGATAAACGAGCAAAATAGAGGCAACTTAACCAGGAGCAAACTGAAAACAACACACAAAGGGAAATCCAGATACCGTATACATAAATAATTTTGATTGGAAAAATGACAGCGAAAATTGTGAGAGGCAAACTTCCCCTTCCTCACCTGTCTCTTCACTATCAAAATTCAGATAGTGTTCAGGGATCAGCAAACTTTTTCAGCTGTAGGCCAGTCCACCATCCCTCAGACCATGTGGTGGGCTGGACAATATTTTTTTTTGGGGGGGGGGAATGAATGAATTCCTATGGCCCACAAATAACCCAGAGATGCATTTTAAATAAAAGCACACATTCTACTCATGTAAAAACATGCTGATTCCTGGACCATCTGCGGGCCGGATTGAGAAGGCAATTGGGCCACATCTGGTTGCCTAGGTTGCCTACCCCTGGTGTATGGTATTCCTTAAAACGCTTTGTATGTTTGCTCACACTATATAAAATAACAATACACAGCAACATCTATTATACAGGAGCCCCCTTCTCACAAAATGTCCTTGTGAGAAGGTAAAACAGGTTCTTCTTGTGAAGCACTTTCTGTTCCAGGGTTTTTTCCATCTACGGTGCCCTTTTTATTACCCCAGCATGGCGTAGCTATTATAGTGCTAGACTGGGACCTGGGAGACTAGAGTTTGAATCCCCACTCAGACAGTGAAGCTCACCAGGTGACCTTTTGCAAGGCACAGGGTGGTTGTGAGGATAAAATGGGGAGGGGGGAAACCTATGGGTGCTGGTTTGAACTCCTGGAGGGAAAAGTAGAGTATGAACACTAAAATATAAAAGGCTGAATTTCAGTGAGTATTTCTAGGATATCAACTTGACACAATGCCTCATGAAATCTCATGTGAAAAGTTAATATAAATTGGCTTGAATGCAAGACTCATCACATGGCGCAAGAAAGCGCTCAGGGGAGCAGAGGCAAAGAGCAATGCCTCATGGATTTGCACAGTGACAGGGTGGTGCCCAGAAGGGATAAGCACAAGGACTGGCTTTATTTATTAGCAATCTGGACTGGCAGGTAAACAGCACGGTAATTACATTTGCAGATGATGCTATACTGGGAGGTGTTACAAACAGCAGTGAGGACAAAGGATTAATGTAAAAGGATCTAGAGGGGTTAGAAGCGAAGATAGATGCAGGCTGGACAAATAAATGCAAGCAGCACACAACTCTTTAGACAAATTAGCTTCAAGGAAACTATTCATTTTGTGGGAGACAATAAAAAATAGGGAACGAGAAAGAGAGAAAACTACGGTAAGGCCTAGAAATAAGAGCAAACAAGAAATAGGTTCACAATGTGGCTATGTAGCCAAGAAGATTGAAGATCTGAAGACTCATAGATATGCTCTGAAGCCAAGAGGCAACCGAAAGCCATGCATGGGCTGTTTGGAACCTTGGCCAAAAAAACTGGGCAGATCTCTCCTGTCTCCCTTCTCTTGGGATAGTGCAATGAACATTCCATTCCTGTCTTTCTTAATCTCTGCCAGGAAACAATATCAATTTGCCCAGCCCTATTCCCTTCTGGCATTCTCAGAGAATGAAAGGGCTTCAACAATGAGGACCAAAATCCAAGAATGATGCCGAACAACTTGATACAGAACATACTGAATACTACCCAGAATCAAGACAGAAAAACTAGCTAAATGCCTGGCGGTTGAATGAGCATTCTAACTCCAGTTGTTAAAACAACAATAATTACAGAGAGAATATTTTGTGAGGAGTTTAATAACCACAAACAATCGGACTATTTAGGTGGGCTATTAGGGAAATCAGTATCTGTCCACTTGCTAAATAAACCCCCAAAACACCAGGTCAGCCTTTCGTAAGGGGCAAGCAAAAAGAATGAGGAGGGTCATTCCAGTTAAATATATTAAAATCCTCTAAAGTTATTAATTAATTCATGTCCAACTCCTTATTAAGGGGCCAGGTGTGGGACTAATTTTCCAAGTGTCATATTAAGGCCTAGTGTGATCTTAGGCAGCCTTCCCAACCTGCTGCCCTCCAGGTATTTTGGACTAACCATTTTCCATGCTGGCTGGAGCTGATACGGAAGGAACCAGGCTGAGGATGGCTGGTGTGGGGCAAGTCATTTATTTCATGGGCATCAAAGTTTTCTTCAAATGAGGGACTACAGAATGTTTAAATTTCTCCCAAACAGATATAAATCAGGCTAGCACAACTTGTGACTCACCAATATTAACGAATGCTGCCCATACCAGCTATGACAAGCATTCCATCAGGGATCCAATATAAACCACATAATTTTGCAGCTTGCCCAGGACTGCAGAATAGAGGATTGTCAAGCCTCAAGATTCAAGACAGTCAACTAGTATGTGGTTGCAGGCTGGCATTTAGTCACAGTTATACAGGCCTAGTGTAGCTAAACCTAAACATTGCCTAAACATTGATCTCACAGATCAAAAGGATTAGAATATAAGTGGGTAAGTTAAATTCTAATCAGAGTCTTTGATGAAAAACAATGAGGAAGTGTCTTGACTCTGAGGACAGGGATATTTCTCTACTCAAGAGTAGCTTTTGTCAAAAATCGACTCCCAAGGCCAGCAGACATATAGGATTTGGTTTGTGGGTAAGAGAAAAGTTGCTTGTAAATGGAACTGCTAATTTTTGTTGTTGAAAGTTCCTTATTTAAGTTTATAAAGTTTTTATAAACTTCATTATACAGCTTTTGGTGATTGCTGAAGACTCATCTCTTTACCTTGGCTTCAGATGCATATTTTAGCACTCACCTTATTTTGGTAATGTTGTTTTAAAATGTTTCTAAATATTGTGTTTTAATAATAATATAATTAATTGTTGTAACCTGTCCTGGGACCTTAAAGTGAAGGGCAGGTAATAAATTGTAGCAATAATAAGAAATAATAATAAAGAGAAATTCCTTTCAAATTAAAGATAGCCCCTTTTTTGCAGAAATGCACAGCTCTGTATGACAAAATGGATTCTACTCAAAGTGTGGGAGTGGGGAGGACGATGATGATGATGATGATGATGATGATGATATTAGGCCGTTAGTATGCTTTTCACTATGTTTTTATTATGTTTTTGTCATAGATGTTCTGTAGTGTATTTTTTACTGTTGTATACCACCCTGGAATCTTTTGATAAAGGGTGGTATATAATTAAATTAGTAGCAGTAGTAATAGTAATTGTAATAATAATGATGGTGATGATGTCAGCAGTCACAAGCACAGATCAACAAACATGGAAGGAGTAGCTTAATTATTTGGAATTGGGCTGCCCAGAGCTGTCAACTAGTTTTCTCCCTCAAAAGTATTACCACTGGCCAAATCTAAATGAAATAAAAACAATATTTTGTTCTTCATTGTCCTGTCATCTTAGGAGCCTAACTGGGAGAAAGAGGTGCGTCCAAATTGCTAGGGCTGTATCCAATGCTAGTCCTTCTCAGAGTAGACCCACTGAAATTATTAAACCTAAGTTAGTCACGCACATTAACTTCAATGGGCCTACTCTGACAGAAGTAATATTGGATACTCTTCCTCAAAAAAGCAATGAGAAATAGGCCATGTGTTACAAGAAAAAAAGCTGAAGAGCAGAGATTGGAATTGCTATAATGATATCAAATGCCAGTATGATAAGCAGGTTGTTTTATGTATAAAAGTGTGTGTGTGTTTCTGTTCTAAAACTGAAACCTACATTCATTTTGAAGCCTACACCAGTTTGTTGCAAAGTTGGCTGAAGTTTACTCATACTTTGATTCACCATGTACATAGGGAGCACCTGAGGACTCACTTGACTGTCTACCAGGGTTGATACATAAGTAAAGATCAGGGGAATAGGAGCATTATCAAAACGCCCTGCATACAGACGGTCCCAACTTTGATCCACCACAACTTCAGCCAAAAAAGCAGCCTATTGCAGAAGGAGGGGGAAAGACCCCACCAAAGGCCCTTGGAGAGCTACCAGCCAGTCAGACAGCGTGGAGTGAACTGTGACGGCCCCATGGGCGTAGGCAAGGGGGAGGCAGCTGCCTTCCAAATCAAGCAAATAAATAAAAATGCTTAACTGACCAATCACATCACAGGTAACTTGGTTCTGTACCCCCTAACATAAATCGTGGCTACACCCATGGACTGCCTGCCCCCCAAAACTTTGCATGCCTTAACCAGATAGGAATGTATTTCAGAATACTAACACAGTATACTTCCTGAAGAAACTGAGTAGGCACATAAATCTTGCCAGTGAGGAGGAAGGAATGGTTTTCAAGTGGTTTTTTGATTTTAAAAATGCATTCTTGAGTTCAAGGACAAAACCCTAAGAAGATGACTTGATAGTCCTGATTACTGTGGCAATCAAACAACATGGGTCAGTGTATGCAATCAGCAGAACCCTTCATTTTTCTGGAATAGATGTACCCCTTCACTGTGGAGGTGGAAATGTTTCATTTAAGAGACAGGGAGGAGGAGAAAGAGCTATCACCATGCACACAGATGCCAACATGTCAGGGAGAAGGGTTTGTCCTAGAAGTCTCTTGACAAGTCTGTTGTCTATGTTCCTAAAGGACTGAATTTTGAACCCTGCCCCCTCCATGACAGCAGCATTCAGACATGCAACATTCTTGCCTCCATAGGCATTCAAGGGAGCATTCAAGGAAAAGCTTTTTGCTGTGGTTCTGCTGATCCCAGCCAAGTAAGCCCATTTCAGACTCATGAAATAAGTACATTTCAGACTCCATCTGACCTATAAACCAGAGTAAGATTAAGACCTATAAACCAGAGTAATGCCCTTGAGAGCTGAGCTGGTCTGTAGACCTCTGTCTAGAAACATCAGCTACCATCATCAAATTTACCCTCTGCTGCTTCTCAAATGATGGGAGAACTGAGTAATAAAGCACTAACAAAAACAAATACTACTGCCATTGATACACAGTATTTTTTGCTTTATAAGAAGCACTAGACCACAAGACGCACCTAGTTTTTGGAGGAGGAAAACAAGAAAAAAATATTCTGAATCTCAGAAGCCAGAACAGCAAGAGGGATCACTGCGCAGTGAAAGCAGCAATCCCTCTTGCTGTTCTGGCTTCTGGGATAGCTGCACAGCCTGAATTCACTCCATAAGACGCACACACATTTCCCCTTACTTTTTAGGAGGGAAAAAGTGAGTCTTATAGAGCAAAAAATACGGTATATGCCAAGAGGACCCATCAACGGTGGTTGTGTGTGTGTGTGTGTGTGTGTGTGTGTGTGTGTGTGTGAAGATTATAGCACTAGATAGGTTATAAGATAGTACCTATCCTTTAGAAGCTTTGTTGAGTTCCTTACAGTTTTCTAATGAACGTATTTTCCTCCACTATCCTTTCAGTTACCACTACTATTCCTAAAAACAATGTCTAGAAGATGTTTTAAGCCATACATGCCATGCCACAAATGCATTCCTTTTTTTCTGTTTTCCCTCCTTTACCTCAAGTGATGAGGCTTTGGGAAGGAGACAGAGCATTAACAGCTAAGCCATTAAGACCCTCCTACATCTGAGTTAGTGCAAATGCTTCTTTTGTCACAATGTAAATGTTTGCCTTAAATGGAGAGCAATAAGTGTACGGTCATTACCTAACATTTATATGGATGTGGCTGCTCAGTTTCTGGAATAAAATGGAAATGGGGTGGGCCCCCCACCGTGATGGTGATTCTGGTAAAGTACCCATAACAGTGAAGATAAGATCACATGCACAACGCAGGAGGAAACATTAAGAGGCGGAGCCCAAACACAGATAACACCATCTAAAGTGCATGTTTAAATAACAGGGAATTGGGTCCAGTTTTAAACTAAATTATTTGGAAGTAATTCCCCTTGATTTCAATGGAGCTTAATTCCAAGTAAATGTTCTTGTGATTTGCAGTGCTAAGGGAGGTTTTGCACAAGACCAAGACGGGTTAAAAGTCAAGGTGCTGCCATTCTGACTTCCAAGCCCTATATACTGACCCAGAAAGAGATTCAAACAAGGTGCACACTTCTGTACGGTGCCAGAATACATTTCCATATCAGATCTACAAGGATTCATAATGCCTAATCCCTTTAAAGTGAACAGTTTCTTTTCCCTTGACATACTAGATTTATCCCCCCAAAGCAGAGAATGTATAACATATAATATACACACAATGATATTTAAAAAGAAATAAATAAAGATATTTACTACAAGGAGTTGATTGTCAGCAAACACAATATATTTACTGCATTAGCATTTGCTCACAGTGCAAATGGTACAACAATACATCAGTTCAATATTTCTGATTTTCCCCTTTAAAATGCTGTATGCATTAACTATCATATTTGCATTACATGACAAATGAGCCAATGAAATGTGTGTGAAAATTATCACTTTTTTCACAATATCAAGCATTTTAACCTTAGTATAAGGTACTATAAATCCAAGAAATAAAAACATCCACAAAATATATTACATCTGATTTGTCTCTTTTCCCCTAAGTACTCAACTTTATACAAAAGTCTTTCAAAAAATATCATCCCCTTAGATTTTTGTAGTTAAACCTGATTTTTGTTTCTTTCAGTTCACATAGACTGCATTTCTCTCTCTCTCTGAGAATGTTTGTTTTAATTTTCTTTTTAACATGCAGACATCAAACCTGGATAAAACACAACCTTTTGGCAACAAGTTTTTTTAATAATTATCATCATTGTTTTGCTTAAATATCTGAGCAGTTTTATTAAAACAAAAGAAAAGAAAAGAAAAACAAAGCAAGACATGCAATGACATGCACGTACCAGAAGGAGTAAAGGAAAAAAGGCAAACTGCTTTCTCTCCCCACCCCTGTTTATGTTAAGTGACCCCCCAAATCAAAACAAAACAAAACAATAAAATCACATTATAAAAAGTACGCATTTAAAACACTGTTTTCTGCATTTCTGGAAATAATTGTCCTTGTGCTAAAAAAACAAAAAACAAAACAAAACGCATCCCAAATTGATGCCCATTAGCCCTCTTTCCCAAAATGGCATCCCCCAGGTGAGCTAAAATGACCTGGAAATTGCTAACCCGCCTCCCATTCGTTTGTTAAGGGTCTTATGAACACTTAAATAGTTCATCTGAATCTACCACGCATTCACACGCGCACACGTTCTCTCTCTCTCTCTCTCTCTCTCTCTCTCTCTCTCTCTCTCACACACACACACACACACACACACACACACACAGTGCTTTTAAAGAAGAATAGAAGGGGCAAGGGTATGAACACACACAAAAGCCGACCCTCGAAACAGACACACCCTGTAAACTCTCCTGCCTCTCCCACTCCCAGCAGTAGCCTAGTCTCAGAGAAAAGTGAATAGGGATCCTCAGCAGTCCTGTACATTCAAGTCAGGGGAGCTTGACTCCCTCCAACCCCCTTTTCTCGCTACATTCAGAGCTGCCAACAGCGGATGACAAGGAGGTGGGCTTGGTGTGACAAATCTAATCAAAGGGATCGATAAATCCATGTTTCTTCATTCTCTCTCTTCACCCAACTCCTCCTTTGGAGGAAATAAAGTTTGAAGTGCCTGCACCAGTTTCCCCAGTTACTGCCCCTTTCTCGCTTTCATTCCCCACCCTCAACAATTCTTAAAGCTATATAATGACACCCAGACTAAGTTTTGCTGTGGTCGCTATTTACAATCCCTCTGCACTAGGAAGCTGAGAGTGACATGGAAGGGCCGGACCCTGTTTTGGAAAGCCCTGCTCATTTCCAAGGTGGAAGAAGAGGAGGCCGAAGAGCCAGCCAAGGAAGGCGAAAGAACAGGCGGGTGTTTGGGGCGGCGGGCGGGCGGGCGGGCGGGAGTGTCATTGGTTTTATTACAGGTTTGGAGGAGGTTGGGTAATACTTTTGGAGGGATGGGGGAGGGAGGGAGAAAAGGGAGCAAGAGGAAGACTTACGGGAAAGGGGGTTTAATTGCCAAGAAAAAAGAGGAAGAACTCTCTCCATGTGAAAAAGCCAGAAATCACCCAGGTTGCTCCCCAGTCATGGCAAAGGAGAGCAAGGCGGCTCCGGCACTCCGAGAGGGAGACCAAGACAGAGGCAGCCACAGCTGCAGCAAAGCAGCACAGCCGCAGCGCATTCCTACAAGGGACTGACTGGCTCGCCATCCTTTGCAAAAGTCACCCAATTTCTTCCAGCATCTCCCCAGGGCGTTGGGACTGGGAAGGGAGGGGGGAAAGGCTCTGGTGGGGGGCCCCACTCCACGGTGCACAGGGGACGGGGAACTTAACTGTTGGCTAAAAAGCAGCCAGGTTCAGTTCAAGAGGCTGACACACGCACGCACACACACGCGCCCAGACGGCCTCCACGGGCAGCACGCACTGCGCTTTGGTGCCCCCTCCCTCGAGGGAGAAGGAAAGGAGGAAGATCAGAGGAAGGGCATCTGTTGGGGTAGGGGGAGAGGAATCCAGGGAAGTTTTCCCGTGTCCATCCGCTACCCTTTCACACGTGCCAGACGGAGCTTCCCCCCCAGGCACCCCATGCCCAGGACAGCTCCTCCGGGAGAAGTGGCTCAGTCCCCGCTTGCCCTCCTCTCCTAAGCCGCTGAGAATCAAGACGATCCGGCGGAAAGTTCAAGGCTTCCTCCCACCACCAGCTTGGCGGCGGCGAGAGGCTTGCGCGCAAAGGCATCCCTTTGGCGGGAGCCTGGGGAGGCCAACAGCTTCTGCCGCCGCCGCCGCCGCTGCTCGGCGGGTTTTGCGCCAGGTGGGCACGAAAGACAGCGCTGGAGAGGCACTGGGGCTCGGCGGGGCGGGAGCAGCGTCACGCGCAGGTGGTGACCACGGGGGCCAGCGACGAGACGGCGGGCGAGCCGCCGGGCCCGGCCCCCCCGGGCGCGCTGACAGCCGCCGCCGAGCCCTTGTCGGCTTTCTTCTCCTTCTGCTTGAGGTGGATCTTGGCGTGCCTCTTGCGCTCGTCGCTGCGCGCGAACTTGCGCCCGCAAAACTCGCAGGCGAAGGGCTTCTCGCCCGTGTGCGTGCGGATGTGCGTGGTGAGGTGGTCGCTGCGGCTGAAGCTGCGCATGCAGATGCGGCACTGGAAGGGCTTGTGGCCCGTGTGGATGCGCAGGTGCCGCGTCAGCTCGTCGGAGCGAGAGAAGCGCCGGTCGCAGCCCTCCGCCGGGCAGGCGTGCGGCCGCTCGTGCAGGGGCGTCTTGCTGGGCCGGTTGGGGTACTTGCGCGGCCGGATGGGCTTGAGCGTGAGCGGGGGCTGCTGCTGCGCTAGGCTGCCGAAGCCCGGGTGGATCTGCTTGTCCTTGAAGGCTTTGATGGTCTCCAGGGGGGTGATGGGCGGCGGGTTGACCCGGATCGAGTCCAGGTTCTGGAAAGGTTTGTGCTCAGGGAGGCTGCCCAGGTCGTTGGGGTGCCCGTGGTAGAGGTTGTAGTCCGGGATCATGGGGAAGAGGTTGCTCTCCAGGCCGCCGCCGCCCCCGCCCCCGCCGCCGCCGCCGGGCTTGGCCCCTTGGTAATCCTGCGCCGAGTAGGAGAGGCCGGCGTTGCCCTGCGGGTCGTGGAAGGGCACCGGCTCGCCCGCGTAAAGGTCACTGCAGGTGGAGTAAGGGGGCAGCGCTGGGTACATGCCTTCGACGTCGCCCTGGCTCTGGACTTGCACCATGCTGCCCGTCGAGGCCTGCGCGCTGGAGGAGGGCGGCGGCGGCGGAGGCACCCCCAGGATGCCCGCGCTCATCAGGCTGATGATGTTGTCCTGGCACCAGTTGGACGGCGAGTCGAAGGCGAACTTGCCCAGGTAGGTCACCGTTTTGTTGCCGCCGGGGGCGGGCTGGAAGGAGCCCGAGTACGACGACAGGTCTTGGCCGGACTTGTCGTTGGCTAAGCCAATATCCATAACATTATCTGCGGAGGGCGAGAAGGAGAGAAGCCAGAGCGGGGAGAAAAGGGGAAAGGAAGGAAGGAAGGACGGAAGAAAGAAAGAAAGAAAACGGGTCAGCGATTGCGGGGCAGGGGGAGTCGTCGGGTTGCGGGGAAGGGGCCCTTATTTAGACAAGGGAGAATTCATTGGGCGTAGGTGGGTCCCCCCCCCCAGTTTGGAAGTCCGAATCCTGCAAAACCATGGGAAGGCGCGGGCAGAAGCTGAGCAGCACCGCCTCCAGCACATGGTCTTGCACACGAGACAGATCAGGTGCAGACACAAGGAAAGAGCCGCCGTCGGGAGGCCGGGGAGGCGGAGCCCTTGAGTGCATCTGCTCAAAGATCGGGATCCTACAGGGGAGGGGCACACAAAACCCGATCAAAGGCTGATCCCCGACCGCGCGCCCAACAAGTGCCGGGAAACTGAGGCTCTAACTTCCAAGGAGTCTGGACTGTGCATCTCTACATAGCCATGTATGCACACAAGCACACCAGCTCACACACAGATATGTGATATGTATGTGTCTGTAACGATTTCAGCACACGCACCACACGCACATATAGGGCGGCATACATGTACTCCGCCATATGCGCGCGCGCGCACTTGGAACGCTAGAAAGCAACAACATACAACTGTGGCACTTGCCTGGGTACGAAATGCAAGCATGTACAAACACACACGTTAGCGACATACGTACACACACCCAGACGAGACAGACACACGCGCGAGAGAATATCGAAGCGCGCACACACACAAGCAGCTAACGTAATCTGCACAGGCCATCTTCATGGGAACCCTGGGAAGGGGAGCAGGCAGGCGACTCCATTGCCGGAGCCGCCGGACGAGCCTCCGAGTTTCCTACGTACTTGAGCCTCCAAGGCATCGGGCAACGCTGGTCGGGTGTCTGTGTACTTAGGGAGAGGTCCGACGAGAACACAACCCCGAGGAGAGAGGGGGAAAGATTGGGAGAGGGAGCAGGAGCAGGAGGAGGAGAAGCGGGGTCAGGAGGAAGCAGGTACCTGAAATTACAGGTAGGCTCAGGCTGCCAAGAGCGAACTGGTCTGCCTCTCGTTCTCTCTTTCTCTCTGCTGCTCTCCAGGCGTTTTCCCACCCCACCGACGCAGACCGGGACTTCCAGCAGAGCTTTACAAACTTGCCGTGATTTCTGCGTCGAGACCAGTTATGAAAAATATAAGGGGGAGGGTGTTTTTTCTTTCTCTGTCTCTCTCGCTCTCTTTTTAGGGGTGGCGGGGGAGATCAAGCAATACTGTGGAGAGAAGGGGGTGCGACTTGGCGGGGGGGGAGTGTTGGTTGATCGAAATGAGAGAGCCCTGCGCTGCTTGTTAGGGTGAGGCCAGGCAGAACCGAACCGGGTCTGCTCTCACAGCAACGCTTGCAGCAAAAGAGGCTCCAGCCCAGCGCGCAGACCTCTCGCCTCCCGGCGCAGTCCGCGCGGGTGCCCAGCGTCCCCTCCACTTCCTTGGCGGCGTCCAGAAAGAGCCGACGCAACTTCACCTGCCCCGGATGGCTCCGGCACGAGAGATGGAGGCCGAGGAAGCCCCCCCCTCTCCTGGCCCCAACCTCAGTTCTCCTCTTTGCCTACCCCCATCTCCGACCCCAGGAATCCTCCTCCGAGAAACCTCCCCACGTTGGGAAACAGAAAAAGAAGATCCCTCTCACCCGCTCCCACTCGTTCCGACATGATTTCTGTATACGTATAGCTAAAAAGAGGCAGGAGAATGAGGGGGTGCTGGGTGGTGTGCGTGTGCACAGGGAGGAGGGGGTGCCCGCGCGGCGATGGCAGCCTGTGCCACAGAGAAGCCACAGCGCACGGAGAGGGAGACAGAGACACACGCACAAGGACTAACAGACACGGGGAAACACACACACACACGGACATGCATGCGAAGGACTTGCAGGGGAGAAGGGCGAATCAGCCCCACGGCCACCGGCGTACGCCCGAGAGACCAGTGGCAAGGCCTCCAAAGGGCAAAGTCCAAGGGGCGCGAGGGAGAAGGGTGGCTTCCAACGGCCCCTCGCTCGCTCGCTCGCCTAGCTTGCCAGCCCCTGCCCCACCGTACCTTCCAGCTTCTCCCCCCGCTGGGAGTTCCTGCCTGCCCCTCTGCTCCGGAGCCCGGCAGCGCAGCGGCAGCAGCAATGGCTCCAGCGCGCAGAGGAGGCGGTGGAGGGATGGATGGGAGATGGGGGTAGGGGCAGATTCACAGGCTCAGCTCCGGCCTCTCTTTGCCCGCGAAGGCTTCACCGCCCGCCCACCCACCCCCGACAGAGCGACATGCTTCGCCCCCTCCCTCCCCCCCGCCACCGCCACACGCCCCCTCCCCCTTCCTTCTTTACCTGTCGCCATCTGGTTATTATAGTGAGCCACCGACGCCTCGCCGTTGCTGGAGAAGATGTTCAGAGAGTTGGGGATCTCCTCGGGGTACAAATTGTCAGGCAACTGGTTCATCAAAGTGTTCATGGTCCCTGGCAGCTTATCCACGAGTTTGCCTGTCATAGCACTGGAGGAAGAGGAGAAGGAGGCTGCGGCGGCGGCTGCTTCGGCGGCGGGTTCAAAGCGGCTCCGAGCTCCGCTCCTGACAAGGCGGCATCCGCGTGGCAAATCCGTGCGAAGGAGACCATGCGAGAGAAAAGTTGCGGCGGCGAGGGGGGCGCTGCTGGGGGAGGAAAGAAGGCGCTGTGGGCCCGGGGGAGGGGGCCAGTTGGCGGAGGAGGGTGGGAAGGTGGGTGGTCGGTGGGGGCGCGCAATCCTCGGTGGATCCCCGGAGGTGTTTCCTGAAGGGAGGAGGTGGGAGTCCCGATCTGCTTTGCAGATGTGATGGCAGAAGATGGTGGGAGTCTTTAATCCCTCCCTGCCGGCCTCCCCTCCTCCTCCTCCCCGGCCTCGCTCTTCCTTCCCTGCCTTCTTCTCTCGCTCGTTCAGCAGGTTCCCTCACTGCAGCCCAAATGCTCAGCCAGGGAAATCCGCCAGCCTATTTATGTGAGCGACGGGAAAGCTCCGTGACGTAGCTGCCCATATATGGACAGATAAAGCGGCGCCGAAGCCGAGACGTCACAATGGAAGCTCCTCACAATGGAACGTTTCGAAAGCAGGAAGCAGCGAGAGCTGTGCGCTGCCGCCGCCGCCGCGGCCCCCGGCCGGGCGAAGAGGAGCCCGGGACGGCCACCTGGCCGGGGGGCAAGGACGGGTCGCCGCTTGGGGGCCCCTCCGGAGGCCGCCCTCGGCTCCGCGCGCCGGCCTGGCTTGCAAAGCATCGCCAGGCGGCGGACCGGCCTCTCCCCACCCGGCGAAGGGCACCGGCTGGCGAGCGCCCCACGCCCCCTGCGCGCTTCCTCCAGCCCTATTTACCTCGTGCTCGTCTTCGGGGAGGAGGAGGAAGCGGGGGTGAATAACGCGCCTCCGCAGCAGACAGACACGCGTCCTTGTTTTCACAGCGCCCATTGCTAAACAGCTCCGCTGTACTGCAGCTGCCCTCTTGGGCTTTGGATTGCATCCACAGACCCGTGCGCACGCCGCGGGATCCGAGCCGCGAAGAAGGCGCCACTCCGCACCAGACAAGCAGCCGGAGGGGCCGGACCCCGCCGCCCCGCCAGGACCCCCTTCCAGCCACAGCCAAAGTCCTTCCTCTGTGGCTCGCCCTGCGTGTCCCCAGAGCGCTGGAGCTGCGCAGAGAGATCTAGGAAAACGCACCATAGAGCGAATAGGCCTAAACGCCAGGCAGTCGGTAATGATACGCCCAAACCCCAACGCCCGGATCCGCTAAGCTCCAAAGGAGCCCAGCGTGGCCTAAAAGCAGGGATGAGGAACCTGTGGTCCGCTAAACGCTGTGGGATCAGGGGTAACTGTTGATACCGTCCAGGAACATCTGCAGGGCCGCCCGCAGCTTAGTCACCCCTGGCCTAAAAAGTTTCCCCCTCATCCTCAAAACAACATGGTGAGGTAGATCTACCTGGAAAGGTTAACCACCTTGCGGGCTGATTTTATAAATGAATAAGCAGGCCGTAAGAAACGCAGCGCAAGGCTCCAGAGCGAACAGGCCAAAGCTTTGGGCAGAGCGGAGATCCTCGCGGACCCTCGCCTTGGTCTAAGCCAGGGAACAAAGCCGGTTGCCAAGAAGCGTCAGCCGCTGCAGCCGCTGCTTTTGTGGGAGTTGGGTTCGGATGCAAATAGGAAGGCCATGGCAGACTCGGCTTCCCCTCGCCTTGTTCGCCGCCGACGCTGCCCCCCTTCCCTCCCCCCGCTGCAATAATTCTCGGCTGGAGATCAGACGCAGCAATATAGTATATCGAGCAATTTCAAGCAAGCAGCACTTTGTCAGTGATTTCTAGCCCTCCCCTCCTCCCGGTTTAAAGTTTGGCACTTGTGAGGCGTCAGTAATTAGGTGGTTTCGTGCTAAGTGTGCCAACTGATGCTATCTTTAAATAAAACCCTCCGAGTTATGTAGCAAATGTATGGAAAAATTATATGTTGCAATAGCTCGACTTACCCAACTCCTGCACGGCCAGCTCTGCAACGGGAGTGAAATGCACGCTGGAAGGAAACCTGGATTTGGCAAAGGGAGGGGGAGAGAAGCGAGTGGCGGGGCAGGAGCGCGCGAGGAGGCTGAGCAGAGCATCTCCGGAGATCAGACACCCATAGGCTTCTTCTTCTTTAACTTTATGGCACGTGCAAAGGAGGATTTCTACTTGGGGTGATGGCAGAGGGCGAGGCACAGCGCCAAGATTCCTAACAGTCCCGATCTGAAAATCCTAGAAATGTAAGAAGGGACCACGAGGGTCATCTAGTCCAACCCCTTGCAAGGCAGGAACCTTTTACTCCTTGGTGGCTCAGTTGGTAGAGCATGAGACTCTTCATGCCAGGGTCGTGGGTTCGAGCCTCATGTTGGGCAAGAGTCCTGCATTGCAGGGGGTGGACTAGATGACTCCCGCGGTCACTTCCATTTCTACACTTCTATGATTCTATTCCATGTGGGGCTCGAACCCACGACTCTGAAATTATGAGTCTCATGCTCTACCAACTGAGTTATCCCAACTGAGCTGTTTTAGGTGTCTCTACCCAGAAACAATCCCTACCGCGCTTGATGGAGGGTTAGTCCCACGCGAGGCTGCAGCGCTAACTTTGATAGCGCAGTAATTCTCGATGGACGTGGCTAGGATTGCGCTGTAAGCCCGTGTGCACAGGACTGCAATCTCAGGCTGTAATCCTTCAGGAGAGTTGAGCCTCACTGAAAATAGTGGCACTTGCCTCTGAACCTGTACAACAGAACTGCATTGTAAGATTTGTTTGGGGTATTTGCGTGTTTGCCCATATAATTTCTTTATTTGTTCCTTACATTTTCTATTCCACCCTTCTTCCTGTTATGGAACCAAAAGTGGCTACACGTGGTCGTAGGAGATCACCCACCTAGATCCCAGGCACTGAGCAGACCCAGTCCTGCTCAGCTTCAGCGAGGCGGCGGCCTCGTCATCCTTCAGGCCGTATCCTGGGAAGGTTTGGAGCGTCGAAAGCGTTGCCGACTAACTTATGGGCTACTATGAGGCGCCCCCCGCCCCCATTTATTTCTAAGACGACGAAGCTGTTACCTGGATCATTCCCTAAGAGCGCCTAGATATCCGGTTACTATGAAGTGCTGGAAACCAACCACGACAAACGTATTAAGAAAAAAGGAGGTGCGGACACTTCTTTTGGCGGGAGGGAATGACTTTCTCTCTTTAAAAACAGACGTTTTGAGCTTTGCAGTCAATCCTGCCTCCCCTCTGCTGAAGCCTGAAGGCGCAAGGGACGGGGGGCAGAGGAGGGTGAGGGGCCCTTCCCAGTTCTGGGTGGGGCAGGCGCCCTTCTGGATTCCACTCTCCCCAGCAGGAGATGCTGGGTGAATTCGGTGCTGCAACAGGACTCCTGTGCAAGTCCGAAGATGGGGGCGTGGGGAGTCAAAGCCCTCGGCCCGCCCGGCAGGTGGATGCGCGCCCCCTCCCCCAAAAGGGATTGGAGCAGAAGCGCGCGCGGGCCGGCAGCGCGGAGAGGAAGCGCGCCGACTGGGCTCGGGCCTCGGCTCCTTTGGGAGGAGGGGTCGGGCTGGGCGACCGGGGGAGCAGCAGGCGCCAGCGAGGAGGTCCGGAGCCGGAGCCTGGCCCGGGTCGCGCGCGGGACGGCGCGCAAGAGGGAGGGGAGGGGAGGGTGGAGGGCTGCTGCGCAGAGAGGAGGCCCCTTGGGAGGAGCGGGCAGGTGCTGGGGCGGCGGCGCCGGGCGGGGGCCGAGGGGTGGGCGCCCCCCCGCGCGGGCATCGCCTCGCCGCCGCGGGCTTGGCTGGGCCGCCGGCCGAGGGGAAGCGCCATACAAGGCCAGGATCCGGGCCCGCCCCGCTCTCCTTATTTGGCGCCCGGTTCCGGCTCCCGGGTGGCCGCCTCCTCCCCCCCCCCCGCTCTCGCTACCAGTGGAAAGAGAGACGGAGGCGCAGCGGAACCCGCAGCCTTTGCCGGCGCCGCCCGCCCGCCCGCCCGCCCTGCCGGCCGGCCGGGGGAGGGGAGCGCGGAGGAGCCCCGCGGGGCCCGGGCCCGGCCAGCCCAGACTCCCGAAGTGCGCCCCGCAGCCAGGATCTTGTGGCGAGGAAGGAGCCCAGTCTGCGCCCTCCTTCCCCGCAGAGCTGCCGAGGGAAATCAAGGTTCTCCTGCTAGTTTCTCTTCTTCTCTTCCCCCCACTGCGTTGCAACCGTGCCCCCCCTCTCGGTGCACATAGCACGATTGCAATCTCTCTCTCACCCCCCCCCCCCCAAGTTAAACTAATGGAGCAAGCCAGCGCCAAAGATTCGTAGAACTGTGAAGTTGGACGGGGTCCCCCAGAGTCATCTAGCCCAACCCCCTGCGATGCAGGAATCTCACCAGAAGCATCCATGGCAGATGGCCATGCAACCTCTGCTTAGAAACCTCCAAGGAAGGAGAGTCCACTGCCGAACAGAGAACAGAGAAGGGCTCGGCCGCCTGGCGCCTCTGCACCCCCTCCCCATCCCAAGGGGAGAAGAGGGAGGGGGAGGGATGCTTCTCCGGCCTGTATTTCAGACTATGCGAGTTTGTTTAAAGTTTAATTGACTATTGTATTTTACTATTCTGTTGGAAGCTGCCCAGAGTGGCTGGGGAAACCCATCCAGATTATTATTAGAGAGAAGGCACTCGGCAGCAGTTATTTGCTGTTTAAAGTGACAGCTGTATGGCTTCGGCTTGATGTTTCATTTGTGAGCCGCCCTGGGACGCCATGGCTGAAAGGCGGGGTGCAAATAAATTGGAGATAACAAGTGCTGTACACGCTTATGGCGAACAGAACTGACAGTGGAATCCTGTGCCTGGTTACTCCACAAGCCAGTCCTCCTGTGTACAGTTGGGGTTTCCCAGGAAATATGTTTAGGATAGGAGCTTCAGTGTCTCTTTACAAGAAAACATGATAAATAGGTACACACAACAAAAACACAAATCACGTGTGTGAGAGAGAATTTGAGTTGTGTTGATTAAATTGCTAGATTATGAGCTTTAAAATAGGAAAATGAGAACTGCTCTTAAAATAATTATTATTATTATTAATAATAAAGCATCAATAATAAAAACATTCCCCCTTATCAATTTGTACTGCAATCCTCAGCATGTTTACTTGAAAGTAAGTCTCACGAACGGACTAAACTTAAAAAGGCAACATGTCAGCATCCTTATTCTGGAATAGATCTCAAGCGCTTTCCCACTCCAAAACTACTCCCAAAGCTCATTTGTGCTGCTTTCCCTCCCCCCAAATCTGATGCTGCTTCTGCTTCTCAGTGGAGGAGTAGGAATCTGTGACCTCACTGCCTGATAAGGGCAGAGGGCCAACTGCTTGCAAGCTTGCTGGAAGTGGGCAATAGACCTTCCTGTTGTGGGCAAACCGTGGAGGTTTCGGCTGCCTGCTCCCTGTGGTCTAGCCAGTAGGCGTCCAGGATCTTATTCAAAATAAACCTACTTCAGCAGCGAAACCACACAGCACTCAAGGCATCCTCACACAAAGCAGGACAGACTATCCTGTTCCCTTCCTTTAGACTGTGGGCACAGCTTGGCAGGGCATTTGGGATGTGTGTGAATGGGGGGGGGGAATCCTTATGGCATCCCACTCATCATTTAATTTAACCCGCAGCACATTTGAATGAGGCTTATGTTGGGCACAACCTGGTGAATAATTTCACCCCCCCCCCGTGTACATGCCTACCTTCCACCCTCTAGGGTGGGGAAAATCTACTGCCCAATGCAAGCACTGCATCTTCTCTCATGAGAGGGTCACTGCTGGGTGTAGTAGCCAGATGAATGTCTAACAGGAGAACTTTGGTTTAAGGCTTCTCAGGAATTGTGACATTAAGGCTGGCCTTACTGGAACCCACTGGGTGCATGTGTGAAAACAACTGGGGACTCCAGTGGTTATGCAGTGTGATCTAAGTTGTGCACCCCAATGTCCACCTAGAACATAAGAAGAGCTCTGCTTCACAGGGTACCCAGCAAGATGTTTCCAAGAGGCATCACAAGTAGGACATTAAGACAATCACCCTCCTGTGCTGTCATCTTCCCCATAAGGTATACTGCACCTGAGCCTGGAGGTTCAATTTAGACATGTTCCCCCATGCATTTGTCTATTCCCTTTTTAATGTTATCTAAGCTAGTGGACACCATTGCACATTCTCACAGTGAATCCCATACTTTAATTATGTGTTCTGTGAAGAAATACATGCTTTCGTCTGTCATGGTTGATGAGGCATACCTCTCAGATTATGTAGGAAATTTATTGGGCTTTCTGGAAGTGAGGGAAAGTGGTGAGTGAAAAGCACTACAGTGGTACCTCAGGTTACATACGCTTCAGGTTACAGACTCCGCTAACCCAGGAATAGTGCTTCAGGTTAAGAACTTTGCTTCAGGTTACAGACTCCGCTAACCCAGAAATAGTGCTTCAGGTTAAGAACTTTGCTTCAGGATGAGAACAGAAGTCGTGCTCCGGCAGCACGACAGCAGCAGGAGGCCCCATTAGCTAAAGTGGTGCTTCAGGTTAATAACAGTTTCAGGTTAAGTATGGACCTCCGGAACGAATTAAGTACTTAACCTGAGGTACCACTGTATTGGGGTTTTTGTTTTGGTAGGAAGGTAGCATATAGTACATATTTAAAACAACCAAGTCAGGCAATTCACAGGAGCAATCCTGCATACTAATAGCAAACTCATTATTCAAGTGTGGATCCTTATGTAGAAAAAAGTGACACCATAAGAGGGAGGAATCTGCAGGTTTGGGGAATCCCCGAGGTTTGCTAAAGTACAAAAACATATTGGGGGTGTGAGCAAAATCATATAAGGGACAAATGCCTCAAACAGCCCAATGAGAACTGGGCATGCTCAGTGGCCACAGAATAGGGTATCTTGGGAAAGGATGTGACTTACTGGAACCCTGAACAGCTAACATACTACTACTACTACTACTACTAATTGAATTTATATACCACCCTATACTCACAGGTATTGTTTCAGGATCCACTTTTGGGGTCCACATAGCCAGTGTGGATCCAACACATTTTGTTGCCACCGGAAGAAAATTTAAATGGGACCCTTTCTGTAATTAAGGGGGCGGGGCACAATTCACTTGGGCATTCACCTGGAAAAGCCTGATTGACATGAATGTGGGATGTAAAACTGCAGTCAAGTACAACATCCCTACAGTGGACATGTTAGGGGATGTTTTGTCCCACTCAGGAGAGGACATCCTGTTTCCTCCTGAGCTGGGACAGACTTGAAAAGGGTGTGGTGTGTTGTACTAGCATGGAGGAGCACACGGCCTCCATGTTCTGATTAGTGTGTGTGTTCTCCATTGTGTATGTTGCTGTGTGTTTGGAGAAGTGACTGCTTAGTCGCAGTCACTTGGGGCTAACTTCTTTATGGAATAGTTCTAGTTATGTAACGCAAGCCTGCCTTCAGGGATATGTCTGTGAACCTGAATGAATCTGTGAGTAAACTACTTTTATATTAACGTTAATCAGATTCTTGTGTTTATTCTTTTAAAGAGGGATTAGAAGGGATTTTACCAGGAAGGACTCTTTAATAGTAAGACTCAGATGAGTCAGCAACAAGCTGATCGCTGCCTAATTTAAAAAGGGAGATGTTTGGAACTCTGCTAGAATATGGAACTTGCTAGTGCAAGTTAGGAAGGAGATCATTAAATAATATATCCTCTCCTGCCTCCCTAATCATCCCCACAATGAACAAGAGCTGTACAACGCCGTTATTTGCCCCCATAAGTCATATTTGTCTGTCTTCCTGTTTGCTGTGCTTAATGGCATGCAGAAACCTCACCTCATATTTCTAGTATTGCCTCTGCAAACAATCCCTTTCTAGTAGCCAGCTTCTAGGTTTCTAGAGCTCTGCACCATCTTATGACATCAGCTTTGTTCTTAGGAGTGATGTCTACCAAAGCCCAGTTTCACTCCTAGTGCCTACTTAGGGGAGCGTTCTATGGGATGCAGTCCCTTAGGCAACAGGAAGGGGTTTCCTTG